CAGGGTATACTGAATGATTAGATAATACTCACTGAGGTATAAAAAGATGCTTGAGTGTAGCTGAAACCCACTGACAGGCAATCCAGCTGTGCTCCATCTGCTCTGCTGTCACATGAGGAGAGGACACCTCATTATAACACACAGCCATTTTCTTTAAGTCCTCCCTTCTCATCTGTTTTCAATACAGCCAGACCGATTGATCAGTCAGCCGATAATAACGGACAATGTTCACTTACACAGTGACTGTCAGTATCAGCTAATTCTATCGCAGATATGTGCTGATATTACTAGATTCATTCACCAGTCAAATTGCATTTAATTGACTTTCATTTTATTACACTAGCAGTTCTCTTTCACCAGCAGAGGGCGCTATATGGATTACAGCAGGCATTATCACTCTCCAGAGTGTCTAGCGGTGATACGCCTACATGTGCAGTTACTCTCCATTTAAGAGACCATCTTATCTTTGTTATATATCTTTTCCACAAGTGTTTGATAACTGCATTTGAGGGATCAACACTCTAAATGTGTATTTCTATATCTATCTATCTCTACATATTGTAGATCTTAGAAAGATATCAGGCGATATATCGGTATCAGATTTTTTCTCTCTCTAATGTCGATATCGCTATCTGACCCAAAAATCCCATTTTGGTGGGGCCCTAGTTTTCAGCGCATCACTTGGAAAAAGACTGAAGTGAAGGAAACCTCAGTATATTAAGAGATTTATAGTCGTTTTCCTGCTCTCTTTCTCTCCCTGCAGGCGATCTACAAGATGGTCGGCACGGTGATCATGATGAAAATGAACGAGGACGGCCTGACGCCTGAGCAGCGGGTGGACAGGATCTTCTCCAAGATGGATAAGAACAACGACGACCAGATCTCTCTGGAGGAGTTCAAAGAAGCGGCCAAGAGCGACCCGTCCATCGTATTACTGCTGCAGTGTGACCTCCAGAAATAGGCCGGAGGGCGAGCGAGCGGAGCGCTCCACCAGCCACCACGGACTGCACAGAAAGAATTTCATGTTCCATTCAGTTTGCAGCTATTTCCACTGAAAAAAAAAAAATTATGCTTGGACTACCTTTCAATGGATCTGCTTCTTGTGTTTGAAACACTCGTGTGCATGAGAATGTTACTTGCTATAAAAAGATCTACACACAACATACGACAGTGTGCTGGTACAAGAGTGCAGGTGCACACTCACACCACAGACACATTCACACACACACACACACACACACACACACACACACACACACACACTCAGACACACACATGCCTCTCACTACATATAAACACCTTGCACAAATGATATATATAGATACAGTATATAAATATGAATATATATATTTAAATTATTCAAAGATCAACTGCCAAAATGTGAAGTGTGCAAAGTATTTTCCATAAGGTTTCATTCCACTGGAGCTTGCGCATCAGTGATGTGCTACGTTCAATTTGCCGCTACTCTATTTATTGTTCCAAGTTTACTGACGCTAGCTGTATGTGTTTCATAATACTGAGTAATGTCGAACCAAATTCCTATGAAAATGTATCTGCCTCCGAGAAGACACAGTATCCATCGTCTTGACTATTAGCTAGAAGAGATGGATTAGCATTTGTCCAACTTTTCCTTCCAAGAAACATGCTTGTACTGTCAGTAACGACAATGTAAACGTAGTTAATTTGCATGCCTTTAGGTTCTGCCTTAAAAAATCTCCCCATTTTGCATCCTGTGATTGCAGACGGAAAGCCTTATCATAGCAAGTGGCGGTGACGCTCGTCCGGGAGAAGCCGTGAGAAAAAAAGATTTTAAGCGCATAAGGGAGAAAAAAAATCATCTTAACAGTGAGTCCTTCTACAAGTGTTGTCGTATGGGATGTGATTTTTTTTTTCTGTGATCTGTCGAAAACGTTTTTTCTTTTGACTGCTTTAATGTGGGAGCATGTTTCCTTGTAGAGTAGCTGTAGTATATGTTGCTAAGAACTTAATCCCCGCCCCCTTTGCATTTACACATACTATCTCATGATGACACAATTAGCAGAAGTTGATTATGGAGGAATACAGAATCGGAAATAAAGAGATACATTGGCATTGGAGGCGAGTGAGATCAAACATTTACAAGAAGACTCTCGAGAAAGAAAGAAAAGGTCCCTTAGCTGAACATAAATGAGATTATAAATAAGAACAAAATATTATTCTATAGTTGTAGAACATTGTTATCAGACTAAGTTAGAACCTTCAGTATGTTTCACCATCAGAACCACTTTTTTCCAGTTAGCCTGCAGGTTGCATATCATTCTATTCAAGTCAGAGGAGTGTATTTGAGACTGAGCGTCAATGAGGAGAACAAATAAGGCCCGCGCAGCATTTTAACTTTCTCGTCTGTCTTTTTCAGTGGAAGTAATTGAGTGCTAAAGTGGTGAGAGGAGCAGTAGTGAATGGCGTTTCATTAAACACTGTAACTAGTAGAGGACAGCCCTTATGTAGAGACGTGTGTTTAGTAGGTTAAATACAATTCGCCCTTAACCCTCACAAGTATTTCTCTCCTACCAATCAGTCAATCTTTTTGTACTTTTTTACTCCCCTCTCTCACACATTGTTCACGTCCTGACGCATTGGAAATGTAGAGAAGTTCAGCGGAGTGTGGTGCGCCCCCCCCCCGAAACACGACTTTAAGTTTGACCTCTTAGCCCACCTGTAACTTCAAATGAGTTCACCTGGTCCTGTCTGAAAGCACCACGGACGCTTTAACGACCTGCATTAATGCTACCAGTGTTTGAAGAGCTAAAGGAGGCTAAAGGAGACGTAACGAGTAATCAGTATTGCAATAAAGATTGAGCATGCCAGTCCATCGTCATCGCCCTGCAGCGTGGCTTTTCACCGTCACTTTGTAATCTGAACTTCTTTACATGAACGTCTTTGGCCAGACAATGTTTCTAATTCCAACTATGTTATTACTATTATTGCTATCAAGATACCAAATGTAAGCAAAGGCAACCGTGTACAAGGGTTCTTTTGTAGCATGTATTGTGTCCCTGACGACATGGCTGCACTACTCCCTGTGTTGTGATTTAATCTAATAAAAGGAACTCTATGGGCTCTCGTCTGCTCATTAACTTATTCAATCTAAATCAGTGTCACAGGTCCACATCTGGACCAGAGGTTCTTAAACTGCACACACTCACATTCTCATCAGATCAGATCATACACCCCTCTCATCATGTTCTGATTGTGTTAGTTTTGTCTGAATTAATGTTCCAATATGTAAGATCATAACATTACCTTACTATATCATCAGACATTAGGGAATCATGATATGTTGAAGTGCTGGCTTCTCTGACAACAATGCAGCAGACAGTATGTCCGCCTAAGTTAAGATTCAGGTGGTTAATGGTCTGTATTTGTTTTGATGCAAACAAAGGGCAAACGGCAAACCAACAGGTGTTGCAGCAATGGAAGCGAGCCAGAGAACTGGTTCAGATAGAAGTGATTATACTCGACCTAAAAATAATCTGCATTTTTTCGAATAAACTACACGAGCAAAAATAAGGATAAATATTAGAGATGCTTTCGAAAAATGGAGAGAGGTTAGAACGCAGAAAGGTTTCAAGACTGATGTAGAGCTGGCTAAACACTGAAGCTTCAGTGTCCTCCACATGACAACCTGTGTGCACAGGACTCTTCGGAGGAGGGGGTGGGGGAGACAGATATCTCCAATGTTTTGAATTTGGACTGAAGTACCAATTTTAAACATTAGGTGTCAAAGTTACATATTGCTCCTTTAAAGTGTGTGAAGTGACACTACAGGAAATCCAATTATATAAAAATGTTGGTTCAATTTAATTCACGCTGTTTCAGCCTGTGTTTTTTATGGTGGTATGATCCATATTTTTAAATTTCCAAACCAACCCATTTCCAGTGTTTCATCTATCTATGTATCCTATCCAGGAGTCACATTTCTATATCATTTTATTCAATGTGGATGAAGTGCATCAATGAACCTTGGTACTAAGGTACAGGATAGGAACATCTCAGAGTTTGCTAGAAAGCAAATTTAAGCCCACTTAAAAATGACAAAGTATTAATATACGTTTACATAATACACTCAAAGAAACGTATCAAATGTTACTTTAAGATCATTCATATGATGGTTTGTCCATCACGGTAAAGTGATCAATGTATTTTATACTTCAGCTCATCTTAAAACAGTGCAGATTCATTAAATACAACTCAAGTAAAAGCCTAATGTCTAATCTCAAAATCTGTCCGTTGTGCTGAAACTCTTGCTCTGTACTTCTAGATAGCTCGTGGAGGGCAGGATTACTGTGGAGTTCACACAAGTGAAGACTTGAGGTCTTCTTCCCCCACTACACTCGGTCTGCAAAGAACTGCAGTAAACTACACAGAGCTGATAATTGATCTTGAACTAAATGTACTTTCCCACCCAACATGGGATCATAAAGCATCTGAAAATACTAAAAGCCAGTAAAATGAAGTTTTGAAGATATATTGTTTACTGGCATATAATATTCTATGTAATGTTGCTTACCTACCACCAGATGTCACTGTTGAGAGATATTTGCTTTTATTGGTGAAAAGCCTCTAAAAACAGTTTTTCCTTCAGGGTTATTGTTTCCTAGGTGGATTTAAACAAGCAGCAACAGTAACTAGTGGAAATACAGTAACTCCCTTTTTAGTCTTTGTAGGAAGAGGAAGGCTGAAATGTTTACCCATAATTCTTTGGTAAATTAGCATTGAATACTCAGGTTTTCAGTTGGAAGCTGTTTTCATCAAACATATACAGCCAACTGCAAAGTTAGACCTCTGAGACTGCATCCCCACCAGCTGTTAGAGGCTTCAGGCAAACTAGAGACTGGGAAACCCCTAACCCCTGTGCAAATGTGGAAAATACACAAGTCTATTTAATCTAAAGGGTTCACACAGAGGACAGCACTTCCACTATGTTATATCAACGGAGTGTAAAAAGTGAGCAGACTGGAGATTTTAGAAAAGGAACATTTATTTGACAGAATACTTTACATAGTCAGTACTCAAACTTGATTTCATACCAACTCTGGCTAGCTTTAAATTAAAGGTTTGTAAAAGTATGAAAAGGACTGACAAAAAAAAAGTGGAAAAACTATTTTCTCAAGCAGATTTAACATCTTACAAGGATTAACACAATGACCGATCAACGTCTGATTCCTGGAGTCGTGTTTCATGCTTTTCCCGTCTGTAAGACAATTCCTCCCTGTCTAGAAGATCACTTTCTTACAGATGGTCTATCCCACATTCAGAGGTTTCCAAGATGGACATTAACAAAATTATCAAATATAAAAGAAGAAGAATATTTTCGACCTGCAAACCAGCAAATCCTGACCAGCAAACAGTAAGTAGCTTGTAAGGATTGTAAAGGTAAAAACAAACAAGCGGCGGTGAAGGTGGATGTGCTGAACGGTTACTTTGGAGGGTCTGTGTTGATGCCGTATTTCTCTTTTAGAAGCTTCAGCTGTTCCTCTTTCTTCTTTGTGTCCATCTTCTGGAAAGCCTGGAATGAGATGATAACACAGAGACAAATTGATTTATCCGTCATATTACTTTCTCATATTTATTTAATCTAAAGACCTATAATGTTGCTTTATTTTCTTCATTTATTCCTCAGGAATATAACCAGCAAAGGACAAAATACCCCCGACCCCACTCAAAGGTTAGGGTAAGGGCCCACTCGTTACGGATGTAAAAGAAAAAAGTGATTAAAGTTTAAATGAACAAATACTGTCTGTGAAAGTTAAGTGTATTTAAATATGCTTAAATAGATAGCAAAATAATTCAATAAAAGGAGGAGAACCCAAAATGTTATTCTAATTTCCACACGGATGTTCTTCTTCAGCATGTAATAGGCATTTTTCTCAAACATATAAAAGGTGAGACTAATTTATAATATACAAAAATAGGTTCTAGTCCATCCAGCAGAGGAGACTCCACCATATGGTTTTTTCTACCATTATAGCAAAATAAATGCCATTCAACTCAACCAAATATTTATTTTCCTGCATCCTGAAACATTTTAATGCACCAGTTTGTGATTTTTCTGCTACATTTTTAATTATGATCTATTCTTGTTTCCTGCAGACTGAGATTACAAACTGTTAAATAACCCTGACTTTTTTAAAACTCTAAAAACTGAGATCCAGTCCTCACTTCCATCATCGCCTACCTCAGTTTCTCTCTGTGCATCTGCTCCTTTGACAATTACCATCAGGAGTTTGTTTCATTAACAACACAACTTGTATAATAAATAAGATAAATTCAATCTCAATTCTGTTATCACAGCAGGTGAGCCTCAAGTGAGAGGGCTTTTTTTAATGACGTAACAAAACTAAGAGAGTGAAGAGTTTAATATTTAACATAAGACGTCAGCCATCTTTGCATTTCAGAAGAGACGTGACAGCGGTCCTCTTTCTCTCTCTTTGATCATCTGCAGAGTTTACAGACACGACTGTCCTCCAACCTGAAGAAGCATACCGACACAGTATTCAAAACACATACCCTGTTTGCATTGTAGTAGAGGACCACCAGGTAACGGTTGCAGACGTTGAAGCCTGACAGATGGTCACAGGCGTTCTTGGCGTCAAAGATGTCTTCATAAACCACGTACGCTGTTCCTCTGCTTTCAGGTGTGTTCCCTCTGAGAAGCAAGAGAGATCAAAGCACACAGAAAATAAATAAGAGAAATAACTGCAGTGTCAAACAAGTGTTTTAAAAACAGAAGTTCATAATTAAACATTTTGTAAGTCATGGGAGCGGCAGAGCGGCCCTGGGTGGGTGTGCACAGGTAATCCTGAGTCTGCCGTCATAAACAAGCATCAAGCTTAATTTGCAGCTCATGCTCGATGGACGCTTGCTGCTCTGTGTTTTGAAGTGACATTGCACCCTGAATTGAGGCTTTATGACGAGGCTGCGCTGGTGCGATGCAAGTTGAATGAAGTTCGGGGGAAAGTGTCACAGTGCGTTTGTGAACCAACTCGCCATTGAAGACGGCATGACCTGATTTATGAATTAAGAATAAAGTCGCTTCTTGTCAAATTTATCTTGGTCATGTGCTAATGCGTTTGTCGCGAGGTGGGATGCATTGCTAGATTACTATTGAATGTTTTATATGTCTGTTTTTGAATTCAGTTATCCTATTCCTACTCATCTTTAACTGTGTGCAGTTTCAAACTTTATCTCTTCACTCATCTCTATAAACAACCTAACAATTTGTGATAAGCACTTTCTTTTGCCCATTTGGCTGAAGTCCAGAGAGTAATTACTTACGTTCTGATTTGCCGTATCGGTCCATATTTCCCAAAGATATCGTACATCTCCTCAGCTGTGATCTTGTAAGGAAGATTCCTGATGTAGAGGATTCTGTTCACCTCAGGAGGTAACCGTATCTGCAGCACACAGCAACAAAATCACTTTTTAAACATCTTCAGCTTGCTAGTGAAACAACAAAGAGGAAAAGTTAAGACTAAAAAACACTGGTGTAAATGATCGAGGTCCAGGCACTGAGGATGGTTTGAAGGCCTTTGGTGTATTGGGCTAGAACATTTAAATTACACCAAAGCTTATTGTCTTGAGCCTTCTTCAGGGTGTAGTGACAAACTGAGACAAAGAAAGTAATTATCCAAATAATTGGGTCTTTTTTGGCGTTAAGTTTTCCTTCACTTTTATTTTATTTAACCTTTATTTTACCAGGCAGAATTACTTGAGATCAAATGACCTCTTTTTCGAGCACGGCCTGGCCAAAATGGCAGCAGCAAAAAAGAAATATAAGACAAACCCAAAAAGAAAGCACAGACATGAGAAAAAGAGACAAATACAGTCCAGAAGGTGAAGAAGAAGGAGGAGAAGATCATGTTAAACAAAAACACAACACCACAATACAATACACACTAAAAGAACAATTACGTGATGGTGATAAAATACTGTGCAGTGAAACATTTACACACTCCAAAGTAAGTAATAAATATAATATATTTTGAAGTATTGTCTTCCATGAGCACCTGTAGCTTCAGTGATATCAGAAGAGCTCATGTTGTCTCTCTTTTTTTAAAGATGTATTTACTTTGACAAAATGAATCTTTCTTAACAGTCAAAATGTTTCAACCAAAGCAAAAGTTTCTATTTTTTATTAAACTCTGTGAAATGACCATAAAGAGTGTATACAAATGTGTATATAAATGTATACAAACAATGTCCCTACTTTCCCCAAAGAAGAGTCAAACAAAGTTATTTGTTCACGTATAATTGAACACCTTTATGATTATCAAGGTATCAACATTAGGTAAATTATTATTATTATTATTAATAATAATTAAAACACCTCTAAAACTACATTTCACACCGCATATAGTCTCCCTACACTCTTAACGTCTTCTGAACATGTGAGTTTAGATTTATAATGAACAGCTTGAGAGCTATAATGTGTAAAGTTAAAGCTATAATGTTTAATAATGTTTAATAATGTTTAGAGTTTAACGTCAGCAGTGTGATTGTTTTCAGTGTGTTAGCATGCTAACTGTTAGCTAGGACTCGGTAAAGACAGCTTCTAGCCATCACCAAGCCTTCACTCTGGGCTATTCCTATAAAATAATACACTAACCACCAAGTTTATACTCACATTTGCGCGTTTCGCTGCTTGCATAGCCATGGTAAAATATTTTTAAGGGTCTTTTTAAGCCGCTGAAAAACAAGCACGCAGTTCCGAAACTCTTCACTCTCCACCTCAAAATGGCAGCAGTCGCCAGCTAGTGACGAACTTCCGGTTCAGGGCTGAACGACTGCACGAAATAAAGAACAGTGCTGCCCCCCGCAGGGCAACAACAGTTATTACAGCACTTCACCTTTCCACCTGGGATTTTCAACATTCAAATTAAATAAAAAACGATGCTAAAGCCACCTTTAGCCACCTACAAGTTATATATTGTGACTAAAGTTCTATGAAGACATTTTTGGGCTTAGTACACATGTAATATTTGTAGAAACACCTACAAGTTTCAATCTATGTTTTCATATACTTAAAAGTCATTTATTTGAGATGCATGTAGGCCATCATTTATGGATGAATAAACGTTGATTTAGATTATAAAGGTCCCAGTTTGGACACTCAAAGAATCCCAGTCAGTTATGAAAATCTTTCCTGTAGAGTCAAAGCGTCCTTGATAACTATTATGTCAAATTTAGCCTATGAGACTGTTACATCACCTTTCTATCAATAAATACAAACTAAGTGAAGGTTTCAGATAACGATAGCATTGTATATTGTATTAGTTTATAGATTTGTTTTATTTGTAAAGGGACCATGTACAATTAAACCTAAATGATGCCATGTGATGCATAGAGCCAGAGTTAGCTTGGAGTTCATTTACATCTGCTGTCCCATACAACCAAAATACAATAGATGCATTGCTTCAAAAATAAAGAATGTCCAACAAAAAAAGGAGAGCTGGGGTTGATCAGCTCAGTTTATTCTGTTGCTGTGCCAAATAACAAAATTTACTATAATACTGTTTCTTTCTTAACATTATAACAGTTAAACAGCTCCACAAACCAAATAAGTAGGTTATTTGGAAATAACATGCTGGTGTATTGATGACAGAGCAAGTATTGCTTCATTTTATTTTGAAAGTAATGCCAATTTCTCATACAGAAAAACAGAATACTATAGTAAAGACCAGTCAGACATTAAAGATAGATAAATAAAATAAGATAAGGTTGAGCCTAAAAATGTGAAGCTGATTAAAAAAATAGATTTAGAAAAGAAAAAGATTGATACTCTATTTTCTTTGCAGGATGTTTGTCATTAAACTTGTTTGACATAACTTCCTCCATGCTGATGTCACGGGGACTGATCAATCACTTTACCAACCATTAACCTACTGGTGCCCCAATATTTTCAATATTATTCAAATACTAAGCCATGGGGTGTGTAATGTAAAATATTACATGCAGAATCTTGAAGCTATAGGACCTGCCTGCAAAATAGTGTGAATGAAAGGTTTCAAGCCCATGATGAAATGATCAGGCCAAGCTCTGCTTCCGTTTGTATGTAGATCTGACAAATGACAGCTTGTGTATTGTTTGATCAACAGCCCCTCCATTCACAAATCACAGTTTAACAACACTTCTCTGTGGTAACATAAATCATGATGCTGCTCTTGCCACAAATTAAAGCTAACTGACGGTTTTGAAAACGTGTGGTGGCTGTTCTCCTATATCTATGTACACACAGTGGCCAGTATTGTTTGTTGTTGTTGCAGTCTTCCTCGGTGTAAAGAGGAAGTTGCTGGGGAAATAACTCTTGACGCAACACTTTTCTCTATCATCCTTTCTTAAGTGTAAGTTCTCTCTTACATTCTTTTTAAAAGCTGTCAGTTAAAGACACTCTTAATGTCCTGGATAAAGTAAAAATCTGTTCATGAAAAAAAGAGAAATGTATGCTACAGCAATTGAGGTGTAGGTCTATGCGTATGACAGAGAGAAAGACACCTTTTTTTTTTTTACATGAACAAAAGACCAACATGTTCTGGTTTGAAGAGCCTCTTAGAGAGGTCTTAACATAAACTGTTTTTCTGTAAGTTTAAGCTTTGAAATATGTGCATTATATTATTTGTATTAACTTTCATGAACAAGAGTCCTTTAATCCTCTAAGAGCTGATGTGCTGAAGAACATATCAAGAATTAGAGGACTTATGTCCCAGCAGGACCCGGACAGACTTGTTCAGCATGCTTTTATCTTCAGTCGACTCGATTGCTGTAACAGTGTCTTGACTCGTCTCCCTAAAACATCAGTCAGACAACTGCAGCTGATCCAGAACGCTGCTGCTAGAGTCCTCAGCAAGACCAAGAAAGTGGATCACATCACTCCAGTTCTGAGGTCTTTACACTGGCTGTCCCAGAATTTAGGGCTAAAATACATTAGTTACCTACCGAATAACAATGAACCATCCAGGTGGTCTGGGACAGGTCTGCTTGCATAGAGAAACAGTGCTCAGGTTCTTTGCTCCACATATCTGGAACAAACTCAGAAAAATGCAGGTCTGCTGAAATGCTCAGTTTTAAATCACCTGTTTACAGCTGCCTTTCAGTAAATTAATTTAATACATTTATTTTAATAAGATATTGACCTATAACTCTGCACTGTAACTGTTAATATTATCTCTTTTATATTTTAGCTGCTTTTATTTTGTCTTCTCTTTGATATTTAAGGTTATTTAATCATTTTAATGTGTTTTTCAGCCCTTTGTCATGATGCTTTTGATGTCTTTATGTAAAGCATTTTCAAACTTGCCTAGCCTAAAGTTAATTTCATTTTTGTTATATTTTGATTAAAAATTAAAACAACGAATTTCTATCGTTTCAAAGTAACATAAAATTAGAAAAGATCGTTCGTCGTTTCTGCCTTTACTTGATCGTCAGGGCAACGCGAAAGCCACTTCCGGTGCGGGAGAGAAAAAAAGGCGAAAAAAAGCAGTCAAGTTTCTGCACGCTGCGTGGTGTCGTGCTAGTTAACGCTAGCTGATAATAACTAACCTTTACTAACTTTCGGTTTCATGTGGTGTTTTTTTTTTTTGTAATTTGTCGCTTGGATAAAACATCTTCGTCAGAAAAAAGACGGATCATCTGTCACAGCAGTGAACATCAGAACAAACACGGAGAGAGGATTAGCATAGACGGACAATCTGAAAAGTTTTGGCGGTTGGAGGGACGTTAGTAGCACCGCGGCTGTTTGTGGATTCACCTGGTTAACTTACCTGGTTAACTTACCACTGTACTTTATTTGGCAGACCTCATTGAATAAAAGAGGTGAGTTTTAAGTTTGACAACTTGTTTCATGACCTGTAAGCTGACGTTTTGATGTTAAATAGTACAGAAAATGAGTTAGCTTCATGTTGTAGATTGGTGAGTATTACTCAACAGCAAACCCGTTAATCGATGTTTTCATTCAGTTGTTAACACAAACCAGACCAATATGAGACCAATAGATGCTGTTACCTTCACATAACGTTAACAGATCGATATTGTAGCTGATAGATTAGTTCTCATTAAATTGTATTGTCTGTTGACTCATAATTTCGACCCGTTTTTCTGCCTTATTTACAGAGATTCAAGAGCATATTATACATCTCTGTGTTACTGTAAGATAGTTAAAGGTGCTAAATCTTTAAGGGCCTTCATCATTTCTTTAACTAATAAGGACGCTAATGTACGCTAATTAATCATGTAAATAAATACATAATTAAATAAAAGCATCAATAACTATATAAATAAATATATTCATATATTTATTTATGTATTTCTGTGTCCATTACACAGAAATACAACATTACTGAATTAGGATTGGTAAATTTTGAAAAACAGACAGAAGCAAATTTACATATATACTTTTCCTCTTACGACCTGGACACAGAAATAAATAGATGTGTAAATGTAAAAATACAGAAATAATTAATAACTCAATTAATGTGGAAATGTATGCATTGATACATATATAACTGTAGAAATACGCTAATAAATGAATAAATACATGTAAAAATATATAAATAGCCTTTTTCATTAACAAAGTGTATTTATTATTTATTCATTGATGTATTGTTTTCAGCATTTATATATTTATTGATGCATTTATTTATTTATTTATTTATACATTATTGTTTGCATTTCTCCCAACATTTATTTATTTATTATTAATTCATTAATTAATTTATACTTTAGTCATTTTTTGTCCCTCATAATTTACAGAGATTCAAGAGCATATTATACATCTCTGTGTTACTGTAAGATAGTTAAAAGGTGCTAGATCTTTAAGGGCCTTCATCATTTCTTTAAGTAATAAGGACGCTAATGATTCCCACAGTATGCAAGTAATTTTAGCTATGTGTTTTTTTTTAAATGTCAGCCTACTCTGAAAAATAAGCTTTTGTAATTTAACTGAACTATGGTGCAGTAGTGTAGATGTAGCAGTTCTTTGTTTGTTCACTGTTTTTATTAACAGTTTATAGAAATGTTAAGCCAACCCACCAAACATTTGAGTTTAGTTTAAAACTGCCCTTATCTATGTTCTTCCTAAAATAGAACACCCTTATTATTTTTTTGATGATAGATTAATTATTCCTCATTTGCAGGAAAAGTTGTTCAAACAAGATATTATCTCTTACTGACTTGGATTAAACTATGTGAACAAACAAGCATGGCCTGAATGTAGTAAGCTTATGTTTGTTGTAATTTTTCCTTTGACTCTTCTATTAATCCCCTTTAGAGTTAGTTTAACTGTTATTACTTCAACTAAACCCTACGCAGTCTATTTTGAAGACAAACAAATGCTTGATTCAATATCAGAGATATATCATGATATTTCCTGGGCCTCATGATTTCAGATTTCCCTCTGCTCTCTGCAAGACTTGTGTCAGCTCCATCATCACCTTGATAATCAGAAATAGAGGGATTTGGGTGAGTAATTTGGTATAATGGCTGTGTTTTCCCACCTCATCCACCACTTTTCTAGCAGACGTCTTTGAAAGTAGTTTAAACATTTGTTTCAATCAACTGGTTGTAAGAGTGTACAATGATTCCTTACCTTTGGATTGCAGGAGTAAGGGCTGCTTGATTTCTTGTTCAATATTGATATTGCAATGTAGTCACATTGCAGTGTGTAAATTCAAGTAAGGCACAAGAAGAAGAAAAAACACTCAATCCTAGAAAAAATTGTGGCTTAATTACAATACCAAAACTTTAAAGGTTCTACTTTAACACGGCCTGTTTGGGTATTTAATAGTGAGTGAGTGATTAAGTGCAACTCTTTGCCACAGTGTATATAGTGCAATGACAGTTCTGCATGAAAAGTTTGTGTTTGGTCTATCTGTAAACATGCACATGAATTGACTACTGTTACAGACAATTCTGCCTGAATTCTCTAGGCATGTATTCAATTATATGATTGGCTTTTGAGTGCATGTATTCCAGTTATCAATGCCACCTCATCAATGTGCTGTTTAGCACTGGGCTATATGTGTACAAGTACTTAAAGGTATGTGCAAGTACTTATAAGTGTGTAGTGTGTGTATATTTTTTTACTTGAACACAACACCAACAATAAAATACTGTCTCATAGCATAAAACCTTAATTATACCACTGATCTCTCTCGCTCCCTCTCCCTCCTCTCTATCTGCTCCGTGCTTTGTGTTTGGACCGAGTGTGCACTCACTCACTCTCTCGACCATAAAAAAAGAAAAACAACTGAAGTGGTTCTGCATATAATTCTCTCATATAGCCTTTGCATATAATATTCTGTTCCCCATAGCCGGTAGAGTGCGTTCCCAGCAGTTTGCTGATCTTGTTCTGTACCGGTGTCACTGCTATTGCTTACTGTCAGACTAACTTGTGTCATTTCCTCAAGTACAGCCACCTGCACCTCCCGTTTTTTTTCCTTGCTATGCTGCTTCCTCAGGGAGCTGCAAGATTTTTTTTTCTTAATCTCTGTCACTGCAGGTGGTTTGTCTGGTGTTTGCTTGTTATTGAGCAAAACGTGTTTTAAGGGTAGTACAATGCTTTTTCCCTGAACATTCATTTCCACATCTGAATGTTCTTTACATTTTTTTAACTCGATTATATATTTGAACTTTGAATATTCTTTGACAGCCCTATCTCCCACTCAAATACACACACTCTCTCTCTGTCTCTCCTGGTGCAGGACTCTGATCCAGATATGATTATGTGTGTGCCAGCACAGCGGGACTGTGGTGGCAGAATATGCCTGTGTGACATATTCCATGTGTAGATTTGGTTGGAATTGTGCATTAGGAAAGTTGTTTTTGTTATGGATTTTTATTATTAATTTACTGGACATTAAAAATGGGTCCACTCAACATGCGGACAAAAAAAAAAAAAATCTATCCTCTGCAGCACCTATAAAGTAGCCCAATTCTACGAGAAAATTGGGACTTAGTCAACCCTGCTCCAAAGTTTGAAAAAGTCAAATTCTTAACTTGGATAGGTTTAGGGGTATAGCTTACATTTGTAATGTGTCTTTTTAAATTTAGAGAAATCCATGAAATAGAAATGTTGGTGTGATTAAAATGACATATCAGGTGATTAATTATTTGTAAATAGAATTATTTAATACTTCACTTACTTTAGATACTTTTAGCAGTGCACTTAACCCATTTAAACTTGAACCGCAAGTAAAATATTCTTATTGTATTTTGTTTTAACCTGTATCATTGTTTGTGTGCCTGTGTTTGCTTACATGTTTTCCAGATAACATCTGGTGCCCCCAATCCTTGATCAGAGCTGATAAATGATGGGCATCTTGAGTTCATGAAACCTTCAAAATGACTTCAATATTAGGACTCCCTACACGAGGATCAGATGTAACAATCCTCATAACCAAGGTCCACTTGCATCCCCTTTGTGTGCTTGTGGAGTTCTGGGGAAAATTTAGCCAGGGGAGGGCTGCAGAATATGAGTGTCTGTCCAAAGAAATTCAGTCCCCTGAAAACACTTTAACAGAATCTGAAGGAAATTCTGGTGACCAGTGCTTGGTTCAGATTGATAGCACTTGGTATAGGTCCCGCATAGTCTCAAGAAATGGCTCAAACTACAGTGTGTTCCTTATTGACAAAGGGGTGACATTGACCACCTCCTCCAGTAAGCTTGCATGGGGTAAGAAGAACCACTTCCAACTTCCACCTGAAGTGGAATTTTGTGTGCTAGCCAATGTTTTACCACTCTCGCCTGAGAACAGATGGTCTCCAGTGGCTCTGGAATTTCTGAAATCACTCTTTGGAAAGTCTGTCAAGGCACATGTGCAAGATGTTTTGTTGCCACACAGAACATTTCTGCTGCACATCCCTTGCATATCCAAACAAATGTATGAGATGGGAATTGCCAAGAAGGTGTCTCCAGATGTGTTCCAGGAATATGTCCGTATGTCGCTACAGTCCCAAAGTGGAACTCAAGGTCCTCTAGGGAATGGGTGTACTCCAATGCTGAAAGGTGAGAGACTGCACAAACAAGAGCAATTCATGTACCCAGAGCTGCAAGCAGGAACAGTGGAGACAGTCATAGTCACAGATGTGACAAATCCTCTAAGGATTTTTTGCCAGTTGAAGGTGTTCTCTCAAGAGTTGAGAAAACTCTCAGAACAGATCACACAGTGTTGTGAGGGAAGAAAGACCAATTGTGTTATAGGTCCAGAAATGATTGGGTTTCCATGTGCTGCAAGGGGAAGTGATGGCAGATGGTACCGTTCTGTTCTTCAACAGGTATTCCCAACCAACCAAGTGGTAGAAGTGTTGAATGTTGACTATGGAACAAAACAGTTGGTTCAAGTGGAGAATGTCAGACCACTGGCTACAGAGTTCTTCAGGATGCCTGTAGTGACTTATAATTGCTCCCTCCATGGACTCATTGACAAAGGGGTTGTTTGGACAACCAGGCAGATCGACTATCTCAGAACACTCCTTCTGAGCAAGACAGTGATTGCCAAATTCGAGTACCAAAGCATCTCTGAGGGTGTTTACTATGTCACACTCTATGGGGATGAGAACACAAACATGAACAACTTGTTTGGTTCAAACTTGAGTTGTTCCTCAGAGAGTGAAAAAACACTTGAAGATTATGCCATTTGTAACACTCCATACAGGCGCCAGCATCCACCACCGCTTGAAGGATATCAAAAAAAGATGTTGGAAAAGGAAGAAAGGAAAGGAGTTGTAGAGAAGTTACCAGCTGAAGACCTGTCCCTCAACTCCTCACATGCTGCTGTTGTCCAGCATGTATCTGACCCATCAGAATTCTGGATCAAAACCCAGAACTATGCAAAAGAGTTGGATGAACTAATGGATGAAATATACCATCTGTACAAAGATTCAGTGAATAAAGTTGTAAGAAATCCTACAGTTGGCCTGTACTGTGCTTCCAAGGCAAAAGATGGTGACTTCTACAGAGCAACTGTGACTGAAGTTGGTGAGACAAAAATCAAGGTGTTTTTTGTTGATTATGGAAACACTGAAGTAGTTGATAGGAGTCACATCAGGATGCTTCCTGACAAGTTCAAAAAGCTGCCACGCCTGGCATTGAAATGCACACTGGCTGGTGTCAGGCCAAAAGATGAAAAATGGAGTCCCAGTGCCTGTGACTTTTTCAACACATCAGTAACAGACAAAGTACTAAATGTACATGTGATGGCAAAATATGATGAGAACTATGTTGTCCAACTAGCAGATCCTGAAGCAGAGGGAGAAAAAGATCTTGCTGTACTGATGTGTAGTTCTGATCATGCTGAAAGGGCAGAGACTTGGAGACCACTCAAAGCCAAAATGTCAGTGCAAACTGCTATTCTACCAACTGTACAACTTCTAGATGCCAGTCTCTCGGGAGTACAAATCAACAATGGATCATCTTTCCAGACCCAAAATGCAGTGGGCCTTGCCAGTAATCTAAGACAAACTCCTACCTTCAAGGAGCACATGTTTCCTACTGGAAGTGTCCTAGATGTCTGTGTGTCCTACATCGAAGGCCCAAACGACTTTTGGTGCCAGCTAGTACAAAATGCAGGATTCCTGAAATTGCTCATGCATGACATTCAGGCTTACTATGAAGGCAGCGAGTTTCAGCCTCCTGTAGAAACTGCTTGTGTCGCTCGCCACCCAGATACCAGAATGTGGTACAGGGCCCTTGTGATTCACAGACATGAAACACCTCATGTGGATGTCTTGTTTGTTGACTATGGCCAGACAGAAACTGTCTCCCTCTATGACCTACGGAGGATCCGTCCACAATTTCTCACTCTTCAAGGCCAAGCTTTTCGATGCAGTCTGTTAAATCCTGTTGATCCCACGTCTGCCACAAATGAGTGGAATGAAGAAGCAATAGCAAAGTTCCACAGCTTTGTTCAAACTGCTGCATCCAACTTTGTGATTTTGAAGTGTACCATCTATGCTGTTATGTACAGTGAGCAGAAGATTGTCTTCAACATTGTGGATTTAGAAACTCCATTTGAGAGTGTCTCTACCAGCATGGTCAATCTACTTAAAAGTGCACCTCCCAAGAAACCAGCTGCATCATCTTTCCGCCTGGACACATACTATTTCTCTACACACAATGTTAAAACTGGAACAGAGGAACAGGTCACGGTGACAAGTGTGAACAATGTCAGTCAGTTCTATTGCCAACTAGAGAAAAATGCTGATGTGATAAAAGATCTCAATATCAAAGTTAGCAATCTCTGTCATCAGCTTGAGAATGTAAAGCTCCCAAAAGTGTTTGGAACGTTATGCTTTGCAAAGTATACCGATGGACAGTGGTACAGAGGACAGATCAAGGCCACGAAGCCAGCAATTCTTGTTCATTTTGTGGATTATGGGGATACTATTGAGGTGGAAAAATCGGACTTACTTCCAGTCCCCAGAGAGGCTATTGACATCATGTCTGTGCCTGTGCAAGCCCTTGTGTGCAGTCTCTCTGATGTCCCTGCCGATGCTCCCGCTAAGATGAACAGCTGGTTTGAGACAAGTGTGACAGAATGCAAATTTCGGGCACTTGTAGTGGCTCGAGAACCTGATGGTAAACTGCAGGTTGAGCTGTATCACGGGAACACTCAAATAAATTCAAAAATCAAGAAGATGTTTCAGATTGAGATGGAGCATTCAGAAAATATGGTTGTTCACCAGGGATGGAGAGCACATGACACTACAAGAAATCCAACTCCAAAGAGTCTAAAAGCTGTTCCACAACAGGCTGAGGAAACTCAAACTGTCAGAAAAAATCTTTCTGACTCAAAACCAGCACATAAACGGAGGGATGTTGACAAGGATTTTAAGTCTGAACCTCAGCCTTCTCGCAGTCTTTGTGAAAATGGTCAGAAGGCAAAAGCTGCTCCATTAAGACTGTATCAAACTCCACATCAAAGGAAGGCAAGTGAAAGGACACCGAGTAATACAGAAAATGGGGTTGAGCCAGCAGCTGCCAACATCAAAGTAAGAAATGTGACTCTTCCTACAGAAACTAAACAGGTTGTCAAGTCCAAGTCACCTGCCACAGAATCTCAGAATGAAAGCAATGTTGGGAAACTACCTAAACTTGCTGAATTACCCTCAAAGTCTATCACATCAGGCATGGAAGCAGAAGTGTATGTCTCCCACTGCAACAACCCATTGAGTTTCTATGTGCAACTTGTCAGAGAGGAGGATGACATATTCTCGTTGGTGGAAAAGCTCAATGATGCTAAATCCATCCCCCAAACCAACATCAAAGATGTGCAACTAGATGACCTTGTTCAAGCAGAATTTGCAGAGGATTCATCATGGTACCGGGCAGTTGTAAAAGAAATTCATAGTAACGCGATGGCACTTGTCGAGTTTGTTGACTTTGGAAACACTACAATTTTGCCAGTTTCTAAGATAGGCAGACTCCAAAATTCCTTCTTGCAACTTCCCATGTACAGCACACACTGTATGCTGAGCCATGCATTGACTCTTGAAGAAGAGAAGGTGATTGACCCAGAAGTGGTGTCAGCATTCAAAGAAGACATGGGTGGTAGTGGAGAAAAGGTGCTCAAGTGCATGTTTATCAGGCAATCTGGATCTGTGTGGGAAGTCAGTCTTACAGACAGTGGTGAGGATATCGTTTGTAAAGTGCTTTCAAGGTGTTCAACTGATTGTTCGGAAATTAACTCAGGAAAATCTGAACAACTGAAAGATATACCTGCCCAGAACTCTGACATCAGGCAGGTGCCAGAGATCTTACAGGAATCACTGAAATCCTGTTCGCTTTGTTACCCCAAACAAGAGCTTTCAGAGGGACAAAAGTTAGAGATCTACATCACAACTACAAATGACGATCAGACATTTTGGTGTCAGCATTCAGACCCAGAAAAGCTTGATAAGATAACATTTAATGTTGCAGAGGTTGGGGATACAGCCAACCACAAAGTTATTGACCCAGGCTCTCTTTCCCCTGGTAGCCCATGCATTGCTCTATTTTCAGATGATAATCTTTGGTACCGCGCAGAGGTTATCAACAAAGAAGGGGATGAGCTGTTTGTTTTCTTTGTGGATTATGGAAACAAGTCCAAAGTCAGTGTATCAGATGTGCGGGAAATACCCCATGACCTGACTGAAAGTCCTCCACAGGCATTTTTATGTGAGCTGGTAGGCTTGGATGCCTCAAATGGATCCTGGGACAGCGGTGCAGTAGAAGAGCTGTTGGCACTCACAGTGGACAAAGCCTTGCAGCTGATTGTCACAAGAGTAACAAAAGAAGAAGGTCAAGTCAAATACATTGTGCTGATAGAATGTGAAGGTGAAGTGATGAACAAGGCACTGACAACCTGGTGGAGGAGCTCCATGACTGAAAACAATCCTGTTGCAGTTGAACTGACCAATTCAGACATAAGAACACTGCAATGTGACGATACAGTGGAAGAGACTGTGCCAACAGAGGATGAGCTAGAGTGCCAAAACAAAGAGATTGATGCTTCTGTTACTTGGGTTTACCCTCAAAGATACCACAGTGAAGAACAGAGTGTAAAAGACCCTCATAACTGTCTTACAGATAATGGGGTCCCAAAACTTGCAAGTAGTCCAAGAAACAGTAAAAGCTCTGTAGATAATGTTCATACTGATTCTCTTGATGTTTCTGAAGAGGAGGAGAGAAATCAGATTTCAAAAGAAGGCAATGTGACCTCTGAACCTCTAGTACTGAAAACCACAGAGAGCCTGACAAGTACTGTTTCCAAGGAAGGGGTGTATATGGTCCCTACTATGGTGGTGTCTCTAACCTATCCAAAATTCATTTTGACATGTGATGGTGGTATAGATGAAGCCAAGTTTACTCCTGAAACAGAGAAAGACACTGAGGAAGAGGGTGCCACAATGATGGACACTTTTGAACCTGATGACTTACAGTCTCAGTTGGATGAGAAAGAGGCCATAGATGAGTCAGGGATTGCAATGACTGACTTGGATTCACTACCTGGAGAGATTGATTCCTACATCATTGATAGCAGCTTGGATGAGACCATTTTATCTACTGAAATCAACACAGGGATGGAAAAGGAGAATGTTTCAACGATGGACACTATTGGGCAAGATGACTTATATTGTCTGTTGGATAAGAACCTGACAGAGGTCGGAGAGGATTCAGGGATCACAACATCGGTCTTGGAGTCTTCACCTGGGAATGTTCATATCGACAACATGGAAAGCAGCCTTGACACCATTTTTGCTGGTAAGCAATGGTTTATTAATCTTTTTCATCTTTGTTTCTTGGTTATACGCATACCATCAAATAGGCAGCTTCTAAAATTAACCCTTTGTAATTGTAAATTATGCAATTGTAGAAAATAACTATAAAAAAACAGTTGTATCATGCTCATATTGGCTTGTTAATTTCCATCAAAACATAACTGAGGTCGTATGTTGCTAGGCTGTAATGTTTTTTTGTTTTTGTTTCTTTGCATTTCCAGATTCAACTCATGAAAATGGGGATAAAGAAAGGGATGATTCTGTAAGCAGTACAACAACAGTGAAAATGGTAAATTATGCAACAATGCATATATAATTAGTATATACATGATGCATACTACAACTGACTTGGATAAATATTGGTATTTGATGAAATCTGGTTTGGTGTTTTTTTTCTAAAGTTTCCCCGTGAAGCCATTTGGCCAAGTGAGAGCCTTGATCCGTGTGAGACTATTGGCGACACTTCTGAAGACTTTAAAGAGGTATGTGGAAATATCTGTATCACTAGGTTCTATCTTAAAGTCTTCTTTAAAAAATACATTTAATTACTACTGACTGTAGTTGGTCTGTTGGCACGTTATGATTTTTTTTATGTTTCTGTTTGACTTGTGTGTTCTGTCACCTCAGACTGATTTAGTGCTGGCCTCCTGTGTACTTCCTGCGTCTGGTAAGGGATTGATTATGTTATTATGTAAAAATCAGTAAACATGCAACATTTTCAGGACAAGCAATTACATTATCCTTAAAAAAATGTCCCCTTCAGGTAGCTTCATAGACAATAAGGCACTCTTTGAATTGGGGTATTTTAAGTGGAGATAAATGCGTTGTACTGTGACAGACTGTGTTGAAATAAATGATTGACAAGTGTAATTGTGATTGTCTTCACAGAGGCTAACTCTGAGCAGGACTTCGTTGCTAAACTTGATGAACCAAAAGAAAATATGTCATGTGTTACTTCAAATGACAAGGTAATGTTCTCAAGAGCAATTACTCCTTTAGCTACTGTATGTTCCATGCAGAGGATTAATCTGTGTATGCTAGTTTTCGTTTCTGATATTGATAGAAGCCAGCTGTAAACACATTCCTCAGGCTAATGATGGATAATCTGTTCTGGTTTAGGACGACTTGATGACTGAAGAAGAGACTATGGGTCTTCAGGAGGACAAATGTTCAGGTACATTCCCCACAATATTTAGTTTGCCATATTGAAATGTATCGTAGTGACTATGAATAAAATGCCACTAATAGACTAAGTGGCCATTAACTGTGACTCATTCCTTAAAAAAATATAGCAAAGTCGAAATGTGTTTGATTTGTTAATTAAACTCAATATTGATAAAGTTTTCCAATACAAAGTGCAAAACTGTGACATGGCAGTAAAAACATAAAAATAAAATCCCCCACTGTCAGCCCCTTTAGCCCTGTTTCCACCGAGCGGTCCAGTATGGATCAGTACAGTTTGGTATGGTTTTGTTTCCACAGCCAAGCGTACTCTTTTTTTTGGGGGGGGTAAGCCGGATGCTGATAGCCGCGTAAGCTACGTAATAGCGTGACATCATAGCAGCGCGACACAGTATACCCCGCTAATAAATTCAACAAAAGAAGAACGCGACACAGTAAACAAAGAGCAACAATGGAGGACATCCAGCAATTCGTGGTCTTTCTCATTGGCTTGTTGTTCTTTGTTACAAAACGCAGTGAAGCTTTGTTTCAGACCAGGCTGTATGCCGCGAGGAAAAAATACAGCCGTCCTTTATTACCGCTGTCGCACAGGAAGTGACGATTCTTTCGACCAATCAACGGACTGCAGTGTTTAGCTCCAGCTTTTAGGGTCGGATTTGTAGACTTGGCACTAGAGCTGTAATCGGGCCTTAAAAGTTAGGCCCGACAAGGCCCGAGCCCGACAGAATTCGGCCCGAGCCTGACAAGTACATTTTGATTGACAGCTTTTTAAAAGCCCAAACCCGTTTACAGCCCGACATTATTCAAATGAGCACACGCACCCAGCTCTTTTGCCTTTTGTCAAGAAAGAGTCATTTATAAATTTTTTAACATCATTTATTCATGAACAACGTAGGCTATAGGCCATTTGGAAATAAATAAAATAAGTCTTCTGTAACATCTCAGCACTCTAAATAGGCCTACGTAAAACAATTTTCTTTCTTAACATGGGGCGCGCTGGTGGCGCAATGGTTAGGGCGCGTCCCATGTATTGAGACTCTCGTCTCGAGCGGCAGGCCCGGGTTCGCCTCCACCCGTGGCCCCTTTCCGCATGTCATTCCCCGCTCTCTCTCCCTGGTTTTCGACTCAATCCACTGTCCTCTCTCTGCATTAAAGGCACGAAAAGCCCAAAATAAATCTTTAAAGAATTGTCTTAACAAATTAAATCAAGATAAATTCTAAACTAAGATAAGTATTTGGCAATAACGAAATAAAGATAAAGGTTCAGCGGGATTTGCTTCGCCACTTCTCTTCACAATCTGGGCCGGCCTCAACACGACGGTGAACAGCAGCTGAAATTGAATTAAAGAATAATGCCAACATTAGCCTATATACTCCATCTACATTATGCATTTAATAATCAATAAATATTTAGTTATAATTTGAAAGACCTTTACTCACCAAGATTAGGCTACATGTTTTTGTGGAGGAAAATTATTGAATCCACTGTAGATGGCTTCAGCGAGGTCCTGCGCTCACTGATGGTGCGTCCAGCAGCACTGAAAACCCTTTCACTGCTGCTGCTACTGGCCGGGATGCATAGTACTGGTTTGGCTAATTTTGCAAGTTTTGGGTAGGATGGTTTGTTGATCTTTCACCAGCCAAGAACATCCAGTTCATTTTCCATGACAGCCGTTTCAATGTAGTGAGTGACCTTGTCATCTTCCCAGTCAGCTTGCTGTACATTTTCCCACTCTGCAAAATTTGCTCTTTTTGCGGGAGGAGGAGTGGGTTGGACTCCGGAGACCTCTGGGTCTTGAATCTCCACATCTGGTGCACCTGCAGCTATGGCTTGCAGAAGAGTGCGGGCATGAGCATGTACGGCATTCCTGTCTGATTGTGACAACATTCTCAGCTGGTTAAATTTTGGCCAGAGGAATGTTGCGATCTTGTGGAGGTCCTGTATTATCACTTTACGCGTGAGCCAGTTTTCGTGCCATTTATGCACGACAGCTTGCTGAGGGGAGTCCAGGGCATTGGGCTGACAGTAGCGTTTCAGTTTCTCAGACCAGAGACACACACGATTAAGTGTTGGATACTTGTCTCCCTCAAGTTCCCGCTGTGCTTCATAGAACGGCTTCAGAAAGTCTATCAAAAAGCCCAGTGTGTCCGGTGCTATTTTTTCAATGCGCACGCTCTCCCCTCGTTCCTCCAGCTTTTCATGGAGCTCATGATAAATGGCCTGTATAGAAGTCAGTGTGAGCCACACGGTACTGAACTGAGTGTCTCCCAATTGCAGCAATGTTGTTGACAGTTGCGCAGCCAACCCCGACTGTTTAACGTACCTCACTAATGCTTTAGCAGCAGAAAAGGTATCTCCTATGTCCGGAGCACTGTCTGCTTTGGATAACTCGGCATTGTCGAGTCCACGGCGCAGTACCGTATTAATGACATGGTCAATGCAGTCCAATCTCTGGTATGGCCGCAGAGCTAATTTAATGTTTGCCCCTCATCCGTCACCCATACAATTTTGCTGAGAGAGGAAGCGTCAAGGCCAAACTTTGTCACCAGTAGTTAGAGTATCTCCCGTTTGATATTTTCTCCCATCTTTGCCTCTTCCAAAGGGAACATTGTAGTTGTCAGGGTTTTATTCACCAGTTCCATATCCTCACTTATGAAATGGCATGTGATTGTCAAATAACTAATTTTCCGATAATCCTTTTTCCACATGTCTGTGGTCATTGCGACTGTGCCATCCTTCAACAAAGTCTTGAGTTTCTGTACTAAAGCTGTCCTCCTTTCTTCTGCCATGTCAGTGCACCTCTTCGCAATTGTCACATGGCGGGGAATAACAGAGTTTACGGGAACCCTCCCATACGCTGCCCCGACATTAATTAGTTCTTGCGCCAGCTCTTCAAACCCCTCGCCATTTACGACATTAAAAGGCCTAATGTCTTTACAGCAAAAGCTGACACACTTCTCCGTTACCGTTTGTTTCACCTTTGCAGGGATGGGTTTTGATGCTGTAATAAATGATGTGATAGTAGGTTGATCCTGGGCACTAGTGGCAGGTACTGAACAGCTTCGGTCAACATGCCTTATCAGCGACAAATACCCTGTCGTTTTGCTGTCGAAATTAACAGAATGCCGCATCTTTTGCATTTCACATAACCCACTTGTTCATTATTCTCAGTATGCACATGGTCAAAACTTGTCCACACCTCAGACTTTACTTTTTTTGCCGGTGCAACCAAAATGTAATCCCCAAAGGACAGCCTCCGTTTCACCTCCTCAGCATCCATTTTCGCATCAAAATGCATGCCGTACCGCGAAGAACCGAACTGAACTGCTTGGTGGAAACGGGGCTTTTGTCTTAGTCAAACCGCTCTACTGAACAGGTAAATAATGTGACAGTGCAAATAACCAGAGGTGATCTTTGGCCCATTAAAGTTATGCAGCCAAAACAAGAAGTCACCACAAGCGTAATGCACAATATGGCCCCTGCGTACTGCTTTAAAGACCCTTTAGTCTTTTCCCCATCCCCTTTTCAACATGTGGACCCCAGGAAGAATAGCTGAGCTCTCTGGTACATATAATGGGAATCCTAACATACAACAAGGAAAGAAAATACTTGTCAGTGAATAAAAACTTTAAAGAAATGCAAACTTGAGCCTTAATGTAATGAACGATTAATCAAGTTGTGCACATGCAGTGTGATACTTTTCAATAAGCAGGGAAGCACTCAGAAGCTTTTAGGCAACACATCTCTTTCTGAATCTGCAGACCCTCTAGCTGACACTGATGAAGCTGCCAGTGAGGGACACTCCTGCACAGCTTCTTCTCAATATCTGGTAATAGTTTAGCCAACACAATTCTAAAATTCAGCCTGCAAAAACTTCCCCCCTGATACGTGAATTCGGTCTCTTTTTGGTTGCACAGGATGATGGGGTGAAAGAGGTGACCTGTCCTGTTGAAGAGGCTGGTTTGGTAGATTTCTGCCCAGGTAAAGTAAAACAGATATTCTAACCATGAACCACATCAAGTTGCTGTTTGGTAGATGGGAGTGTATGCTTTTTATTTCTAAGTTTATCCTTCAATGTATCAATGATTTGTGTCCTTTGGACTGCAGATTTTAATGAGCCATGTGACGGAGAAGTCTCCAGTACGCAAGACGATTGTCACTACTGTGTGACAGCAGAGGAAACCAGGTAAAGTAAACAGATATTCTAACCATGAACCACATCAAGTTGCTGTTTGGTAGATGGGAGTGTATGCTTTTTATTTCTAAGTTTATCCTTCAATGTATCAATGATTTGTGTCCTTTGGACTGCAGATTTTAATGAGCCATGTGACGGAGAAGTCTCCAGTACACAAGACGATTGTCACTACTGTGTGACAGCAGAGGAAATGGTAATTTTCAACACACTCAGTTTCCCAATGTAAGGTACTTTATCAGTGTATTTATGTGGTTAAAGGTTAGCAGTGCTAGCACCAGCATTCTTCAGCATCCGGATGCCTGTCCTGAATGCGGTAACACATTGCTCTTGTTGATTTGCCGGTTTAATCTGACAAAGTCTTCAAACAACTTCACCTCCGTTTTCTAGATTAAAGTACTGCCAAACCGCTCTGCTCATACAAGGGTGTTTTCCCTGACATTCGTTTGGGTTGGTGGCCCACAACCCAAAGACACAACCTCCCTCCAACCCAAAAGAAGTCACAAAATACTTTTGAGCATTCGTTATATTTCAACAGAGCATGACAATTTTTTTTTCGCGCTTCACTGGCCTGTTCAGCCATTTGAGAAAAACATTTCCAGAATGCCAGTACGGTTTCTTACCTGTGATTGAGATTCAGCCTACATCCGTCTGAGTCTGAGTGGGAAAATGTCCCGAAAATTAGTTATCCAATAAACTAACTAGTAATTCTGATGTCAACTAGTGAGAATGACAGATCGTTGAGTTGGCTTGTCGCGCACATACCTAGGGTTGTGGACTAAGTTGTTGCCAACATGTCTTATTTGACATTTCAACATAATGTACATTTCCAAAGAACTAATCCCAGTATTACAAAATTAAAATGCATGACCAATAGCAGGAAGGTTGGGTACTTTTTAATAGGTTGATGGTAGTATTTAGAACCATTTGTGGTAGCTTGACATTCATCAAGAAAAGTAATACTCAAACATTGTTTGAAATATAGGCCTGGTTTCCACACCATAATGCTGATATTACATGTGAAGTACGTAAATTCTGGGAACTTAAATTTTATCTCCTTTTTTGCACTAAAATGGTGCATTTTCTTCAAATTAGGTCCAAAGAGAATCTCTTGTTTCTTGTATAGAGCTTCCTCATGAACAATCAGTTGGTGAGTAAATACACTGTAAAGGGGCAATGAAACATTCTGCAGGCTTGGTTAAAAGGTGTGATTTATAACAATTGTCAAACAGTTATTGGTCCTCTTGATCCCAACAATATTTGCTATAACAATATAATATATATATTTAACAATATATTATTGTAATTATCTTCACAGAAGCTCCCTCAAAGCATGATCTAGAATGTGGAGACATTTCCCTCCAGGATGAGGCCTTGAATAGCAAGGTAAGGTGACCTGATTTCTGTCAATAGAGAATGTGAATACAACGTTTAGCTTTTAAGATAAGTTTTTAATGAGGTGGTCTGTTTCAGAATAACTCAACGATTGAAGACAAGCCTGTGGTTCTGCAGGAAGATGAACTTTCTGGTTTGTTCTGTTTTCTTCGTTGTTTGGATATGAAGGTTAAATTAAAACATCTTTGACACCCCAAAATTAAAACCTTGTCAAACCCGCTACATACTATATTTCCCTTTTGTATACTTTAAAGACAAGTTTACTTTAGTTACAATGAACCAATGTCAAATTTGAACACTGCATCCATGAGATATTTTTGTCGTCTGTTTTTGTGTTTACAGCTCTGCCAACTGATTCTGAAGTTTTCTCAGTTTCCTGTCCAGATCTGGTAAAAGCGATAAATCGACACTCGGCTGAAATAAGACATAAGAAAAACATGTGACACTGACAAGTGAAAGGTTCCTTTGTTGCTTTTTTAGAATAACCTGGTTGAAGAGGTGACCTGTCTTGTTGGGGAGATCTGTCTGACAGACATCTGCAGAGGTATCAGACTGGATAACCGAAATGTGCCAGCACTGCAATTTAAGCTGCAGAAAGAGATCAAATTCTGTTGGTTTGAAAGCCTGATGATATTAATACTTCCTTGTTTTGAAGAACCACCGAAAGACACAGAAACAGAAGACAGAGAGCAGATGGTGCAAACACCCACCGAACAAAAAGAGGTAACTGTGATTCGCTTATATGCTACATGATACATGGCCCATAATAACCATATCATGATATCACAACAATACAATAACACAAGAATACAGAAAGCCCCTTAAAAGGATCAGTGCAGGATTAATGTATTCACTGATGTTTGGTGTCAGTTTCACCTCTTATTATGCTTCATTACTTTAATTCCTTTTCTCTGCTGTCCAGCATTATCTCGCTGTGCTCTTCTTTTTGTCAATTAACTTCTGTTCACTTCACCGTCATTCATGTCAATAGCACCACTGTGAGGAGGCAAATTGCCAGGAAGTCTGTTTAACCCTGTTTTGTATTTTTATTAACATGTAGATTTTGTATGACCAATGATTTGACAGTTCTGTCCGCAGATAAGGAGAACAGTATATCACCCCATTTATATTTTGTCCCACCCAGAGTGTTAAACTTCAGGAAGAGCTGTTGCCTAATTTGTGTGAATGCTCACACATGCTCAAAGTAGTACTAAAATTCTCCATTAAGTACTACATTTTCCAGATTTTAATTCCAGTGTTTCTGTGATAAATGTAAATTTTGTAATGTATACCCAAAATATTTAAATTAAGCATTATCTAAGTATTTTTTATATAATGTTTTTCTTTTCTTTTTCTGTACAACATTTCAAGTGTCCTTCACTCGGGGCGTTTAGTCTAATCTAACGATCCAATCAAATTCATCCCAATGTCATGTCCCGCCTTCTATCTTGTGATTGGTTCTATCCCATTTCAAGTGGAAATGCATCACAACACGGCAGTTTGACTCTTGAAGTTGCGTTTGATGGTGATGTTGAAATGTGAAGCCTTTGTGATGTAGATGGAATGTGTGAGGGGGGTAGCAGTGTATGCATACGCTGTACAAAAGAAGTGGATGTAGCCATGGTGATGTCACCTGCCGGTACTTGTTTTTTTTAACCCAACCCTTTGAATCTCATCTGGTAGGCTGTCACCATCATGGTATTTTGAAACCATAAAAGGTCATGAGAGGGTAAATAAGCATGGGCTATCTATTTCCTGGTCGATAAGCATCAGTGGTAAAAACCTGTTTGTCACAGATGACATGCCCTAAAGCATTGCACCGGCTATATCCTTGATCCTTGATCTCTTGATTCTGCTCCAATTGGTTCCTTAAATTAAAGAATAAACTTAATGCTATATTGGAGAAGACTTTAAACTAGTGATTAAAACCTGAATGAAAATGTCAACCTAAGTATTGACTTAACTGTAGAAGTGACAAATCTTAGTTGTTTTTGCAACCACTGAAGTCTCCCGCTGCTGGCTTTTAGAAGGAATGCAGGCTTCAGGCACTTCCACAGTGCCTTAAATGTTGTAAGAAGAGGCTCCTTCTAGTGTATTCTCTGAGTGTCTGTAGCTGTAGATTTGCTTACACACAATGTTAATAAGGCACTCATGATCTGTTTGTATTTCAGTGCTTGGACTTGTGCCCTTGATGCTCAGTAGGATCGTAGGTTGCCCCAAATAATGTGATTTGGACTTGTGTACAGTCCAGTACATTTGTAAAAAAAGGGCCACTTTAATTTGAACCTTGAGAATGTTAATAATTGCACTCATACCCTGGTATTATTGTTGATGTAAATATGATGATGATTCCCACTAAACATGACATGTAGTTTTCAAATTCCACATGATTCTCACAGTAACCAGGTTTCTGATCTTCTTCTGTCTCTATTTTTCACCATCTTAGCCGTTACTCTCACTACCACCAGAGAGTTCAGAGACCGAGGTCAGTTGCTCTTCTGTGAGAATACTGTATTTTCTACTCAAGCTAGCTGCCAGGGCTGTCATAAGGATACAAGTGCACATGTGAACACTCGTTGTCTAAGCTTGGTTGATGATTTTTCAGGATTTCAATGATGGTATGATGGAGGAAGAAACGTCCTCTTCTGATGACAGTTTTGGTAAGTGAAGATATAAATAATGCGGTTGAATTCAGCTTCAGTTCACAACTCCATCTTGCTAATTTCCACTGCAGGAGTTAATCTACATAAATCTACAAGTTCTGTATGCAATTTAAAAAAAGATAACTTCCTTCCTTAGAAGATCAGCTGTTGAAAATCACTCATCTCTCGTTGAAGATAAATGATGGTTCTGCAGATTCTCTGCCTTTTGAGCAACAGTCAAAGGAGTGACAACCTTCTGTTCCCTTTACGAGTCTTTATCAGAGACCTAAAACAGAAATGTTTCTACTGTTCTTTTCTTTTAAGTTGTAAAAAAAAAAAAAACAGACTCAAGTTCTTTCTTTGTTGTGTTCCTTACTCGATGGCAGTCTTGATTATTGGATTTACCTGCCAGGTTGTCTTTATCCTTTGGCCCATTGGCTGATTTCATTGTTCACATGAAACAAAAACATAGTTAAAAGTGCCACTGTGCAACAACAGCAGTCATTATCTCAAGATTTTGTTATTGGCACCTGCTCAGCCTTACTTTGGGCACTGTTGTGTGACAGATGATCTGTCCTGATAAACTGATGCGATGCTTTGAAAGGGACTGAATCTTTGGTTTAATATAAAAAAATGCAGCAGTTTTCAAGAAATGGCCCTGTGTTCTGTGTGGATTCATGCATGTGATGAAGCTGTATTTATGTTGGCACAATAAATATCGTTAAAGAGCCAAAGGGACGAGTCTGTTGTTCTTTTATGTTCCCTTTGTTGGTGAAGCTGAACATACAATGTGTGTGATGGTTCTTTTTCTGCCCCAAATTAACAAATAATCACTACAAGAACTTGTTGACACTGCTTCTTTGCCTCTGATTATATAATAGTGTACAGTGTTTTATCAAATAGTGATGGTTTGAAAAGGGTCCAACCTTCCCATTGATCAGTCTTACCAAAAAACTAGTTAACCTAATTTTTTTCTAAACTGGAAAATCCACCCTTTTAAGGTCACATGCAAATTTTAACAAACACTTACCATGTTTTGTAACACTTGTGTGCCTACCCTGTCTACAACCCCCCTCCCCCCAAAGTATGAGAAAAGTCCATCCTCCCCATCTATTGCCTGCTCCACTTTTCAGAAAACGTGATAAAATCAGAGACAGTAAATATTAATGGATGAAGCATGAGTGACGTCAGCCATCTGTTAGGCAGGAGGCCCTGGAGGCTCATCAGTAGCAGCCGCCATGCTGGACGTCCTGTCTCAGCCTAACTTTCAGTCAACATAACGACAGGCTGAGAGCTGGAGCGGATTTTAAGCCTCCTGATTAACCGTTACATCACGCCCACCTGTCAATCATGTACTGCTTCAAAAACTGGCTTTTATTGGCTGTGGTGTGTATCTGACTGGGTTCTCTTGGTGCCAGCCTCAAGTGGTCACTCGAAGAACTGCAGGATTTTGCTCTTCGCATTGGCTTCATTTTCCAACACCAGAGGCTGCCACTTAGATCTAACAGGCCAATTGGAGATTTTTCTTTCATGACATCACACAGGTCAGTAACCCCTCCAACAACTACGTGTTTGTTCTACCCTCTGAGTCTGCCTTCTACCTGTAAATAATCGGACATGGAGCGAGAGAGCCAAAGCCACCCAAGCCCTTCCAGAGAGGGGCTGGGTTACACACAGCTCATTTACATTTAAAGCTACAGAAACAGTCTGTTCTGAGCAGGGCTGAAATAGAGGGGTTTATAGACATGATCAGAGTGGATTTAGAACAAGAAACTTCACGTGTTTATAGGAACTCTAAGAGTTATTTAAACTGGTTGAAAAGGAGAGAAACAAATATGTGACCTTTAACTTAAGTGTCAGACAGTGTGTTTGTATACAACCCAGGTTTATTGGATTTATGGTGTGTATAAATGGCACATGTTTACAAAGTATAAAAGTAGAAGGCTGTCACAGTGACTCAGGATGAACAGTGTGAACACTGAGTTATGGCACATTTGTTTTTAGTGTTGGTGGAACCCTTAAAATTAAACTCATTTGCTAAGATGGCTATCTACTTAATGTAATTATACATTTTTGCTATCATTGGTAGCTTTTAACAATGCCCATTTCAAGCCCATTGTTTGGACATATTCTCATTCAAGGCCTAGTTACATAATCACACAGCAATCATAGTATAACTTGTCTCTGTTGGAAGGTCATATCCAAAAAGACAAAGGAAAATTTGGGTGAAATAACATAATCTCAGTCTGCTAAATAGAGTCCAAAATCAGAAAGATTAAAGGAGTTTTCATCGAGGTGATAGTGAGATTTTCACAAACGGTGAAAAGAATCATTCAGCTGCTCATATGCAACATTCAGGCCTCATGAAACGAACACTGATCCACTGATTGTTCTATGTGTCCAGACAAAAAAGTCTGTCCTACTGGTGAGGTAGACATGATCTTTCCTTTCCATTACCACATTAAAATGTTATCCTCAGTCTTTACGCAGTGCTGAGTAGACCTGGCCTATCCTTCTTGGACCGTTCTACTGAATCCCACGCAGCAGGAGATGAAAGCTGACGGCCAGAGTCCTCTGTATCCTCTGCTGTTTAAATGGCAGACTGAAGCACGGTAACATTCGTTCCTTGAATTAGGTTTTCATCTTGCCCATCAATCAGGAGGATCCCACTGGTTAAAGTTTTTCTCGAGGCCTGTAAAAAGCATGATAATGTTCATTCAGGACTGTAGCACAACTGAAAATGTGCATTTCTGCTCTTAACATGACACAGACTTGTGATGCACTGCAGGAAATGTCAGTACTATTCATACCTAGATGGCGTTGCAGAAAGGCGAGGGTTGCTCTGTTGCTGAGGTCTAATGCGAGCTCTGGGTCGATCTCTCCCTTCAGCTTCATCAGCTTCCCGATCCAGTTGCCCGTCAGGAAGGTGAAGTCTGGGAAACTCTGGTGGACTGTTCCACTGAAGGACAACAAGAAGGGGAAACCTGTAACAGACTTTCACACCGTCAATAACACTTTGTATCCATTGAATCAGCTTTCATTTCTACCTGATTGTGATCATTTTTCTCTGAATGACAGCCGAGTCCAGCTTCTTCATGCGGCTGATGTTCCCCGCCCACTGAAACTTCTCCGAGTTGATGAAGAAGATCGGCTGCTTCACACGGGCAAATATCTCATCGTCTAAAGGGAACATCCAGGAGTCCAGTGCAATGCCACACCTTAAACAAGTGGAGGTCAGAGAAGGTTGTCGTAAAACACAAAGAAGATAGATATTACTTTAATAATCAGATCTAAAACTTGGTATTGAGCTACATTTCACGATAATAGTTTCCCTTTTTTTACTGATACAAAAAAAAGATTGTTTTCCAACAAAACAGAGAAATGAAGATGGATGAACACTGTAAGTCCACATACTTGAATTTAACCTCTTTGCACAGCGCTTCAATCACTGTTGCTCCACCAAATGAATGTCCCATCACAGCTATCCTACACATATCAGACTTAAAAAGTCAAAGGTGATAATAAAAAAAGTTTACCTCCAAAGTTGTCCAGTCAAACTCTGTTTGCAACACATTCTGCACTGCTATTCCTGAGTTGATTTCAGAGAGTTTGTCCAGAGCAAGAATGCATTCATCTCCTCTCTGTTTCACCTTTGAAAGACAATGATTCATGTAAGTGAGGAGAAGGGCAAAATAATTCCCAACTGAAATGGTTTCACATGAATCTCAAACTGAAACACAGTCTCAACATAAAACAGAGAAGTATTTCAAAACAAAGGCAGCATGAAATGCCAACGTAGGAGAGAGGAAAGTTACTTAAGTGAGACAGAAAAAAACACATGACAGGCTGAAGAAACAAGGATGTGGTTTTTAGTTTGCTTAGTGAGTCTAAGTTCAGATATGTTGTAATGCAGCTGCTGTCATTCAACAGTGAACTGCATGCTTCTCACCTGTCTATTCCGGAGCGGGAATTCGCTCTCCCCGTGCCTCAGACTTCTGTAGTACATCCACTCTATAACCAGGTTGTCTTGAGCTGAGGCGGATGTGTTCGGCACGTTTTCACTGGCCTTTTCAGACTCGGTTTTCTCACGGTAATAATACGTAGCTGACGCTGACTGGTCTCTGAAGGCCAAAGAAACACACAATATGAAATGTTTAAAAGTCACATACATTACATACATACGTATATTATTGCAATTCTTTTTTCAGAGTACCAATGAACCTTGACACCTTTGAATCGATTTATTACGATTTTACAATTCATTTTTACAACCCTACAGCTCACTTATATTTAAAGGTACAGACACAGAAACTGTCTGCTCTGAACAGGGCTGAAATAGAGGGGTTTATAGTAATGATCAAATACAGGATCAGAGTGGATTTAGAACAAGAAACTTCAAAGACATGTTTTGGGGAGCTCTGAGACTTATTTAAACTGGATGAAAAGGATGGTAATGTGACCTTTCAATGAGTAAAAACCGGCTGAATACATAAATGTACTGTAACATTGACAAAGGATGGACTTTTATTATTGTATTATTTGCTTGTATTTGTACATTTCCACTTAAAAGTAGTCTTGCAAAAGCAAAACAAAGTTGAGCAAAGATTAAAAATAACTCCCATTATGTTAGATGTAAATACTGGGTAAGCGTGAGATCACATTTTCCATCCTGTTTTGTTTGGTCAGTACTAATTTGGCAGTGTGACAACAACAACACTGGCTGAATGTCTGGACTGACCTCTGACCATGCAGCATGTGAAACATAGACTGTCCCGTGTCACAGCTTTGAAATACGTCACCACACAAGCACATGCAGTTTGGCCTTCACCTAGCTGCTAAAATTCAGTGGAATACCACTTCAGTCCACATTGAGCGACAAACTGTGGCCATGGTTCATCTCCATATGGTCCCCTTGTCTCTATACTGAAAAGAAATGTGATGAGCTGGTTCGTACTATTGTCCAAACACCCTTTCCATTCCTACTCCACAGATAAACAGACAGCCGCTTGCAGGAGGGACTGACCTCTGTTATTGTTTGTTTGGCTAAAGTTCAACTAGAATTTCCTCCAACCAACACGTGACATTAGTTTCTAATTTTAGCGTACGTATGCTGTACACGAGCCTACAGTTTGAATAACTGAAGATTGAATACACCATGAATTACAACGTCAGTTCTGTTTGAATTACTGCCACACAGACAATCTGGTTTCTGCTTACTTCAAGAGGCTCCCTTCATTTGTAAAATAAATAAATAAATAAATCCACAATAAGAGAACATATGAGCTTAAAGTACATTTAATGAAGTTATTAATGTACTCGTACCTGTGTTCAACGGACGCCACAATGAAGCCCTGAGAGGCCAATTCTGCACATATAGCTGAATACAAAGTCCTGAGAAAACACCAAGGAGACATCCATTAGACTCGTCACTGAGGCTTATGACCAATTGATGATGAGCAAACATCTAAGCAGTGTTAAGATTGTTTTTTTATACCTAAAGGCTCCGAGGCCGTGAGAGAAGACAACCACGGGACATTTCTCTTTTGATTTAAATGGAGCATCCAAGTAGGCTGGGATCTTAAAGGACCCTGAAAGACACAGATTATAAAAATAAAAAAAAGATTTAAACAGCACAATAACATTGTTAAGAAACATTACAGACATTGTACTGTAGATTACGAGGACTTTATAGTGCTGACGAATATGACTATCATGCCCACACATTTCT